CTCTATGACCTATTCAGCCATGTGTATGTGACTATGTTTACAGTGCCACCCATGAGTTCACTCCCATTGAGAGGGCTTTAAGTCCAATTAGGTATCTTGTACCACCCAGATATCAGTGCCACTACTGCACCAATATGGACTTCTATATCAGTGAACACAGTAGTGGATTTCATTATGAAATGCTTGTGCATATGCATCATTATACTTTGCTCTTGTTCATTTCATTTTCCCCACTTCCCCCTCCTCTTCCCCTTGCTACTTTTTGGTTGGTTCCTTTTCTATCTCAAGTAGTTCCCCCTTTATGTCTGCACACCATGTCTATATCAGTATCACTTCTTTTTTCTCACCTCTGTGCTTTCATACAATCTCTTCTTACCCTCTCATGGTGACTTATCTACTTTTGAGGCAACACACACACACACACACACACACACACACACACACACACACCCCTTTAAATCTACTTTTTGCATATGAGAAGAAAATATGCAGCATTTGCCTTTTGGTGCCTCGCTTAATTTACTTAATGTAGTGATCTCCATTTCTATCCAATTTTTGTATTTTAATGATTTTATTTCGTTTTATGGCTGATATTATGAACATATTAAAAAGAAACTTCCTCATCCAGGTTGACATGTCAACTCTTGTCATTATGCAGGTTTTGTTTAGGCAGCCATATTGCTGAGATGTCACGTGTGCATCTTCCTTGGGATGTCTAGTGCATTACCCTTGTGAGGTCTAATGGACCATCCTTTGAAATCTAGAAGTCTATAGCTAGTAGCCAGCATCCTGGTCCTCTGGTTCTTACAGTCTTTCAGCAACTTCTTCTATGATGTTCTCTGAACCTTAGGTATAGGGGTGGCATTGTAGATGTATCCTTCGAATGCTTAGTAGAAACTAAAAGTGAGATACCAATGAAGTACTGCAGGGGATAATAGAATGATAAATCTGTTTTTCTGTTTTTTCTTTCTGGTAGAATGAACAGTTATGACCTTACAGGGGATGGGTGAGTGAATAGTTCAGCTTATGTCATCTTAACTCACACTGTCTCCTCTCTAATAGAATCCTTCCATCAAAAACAGTTTTGTTATATCTGCTCCTGCTTCCCTGCATGTGATTTTAATACTTCTTAGACTACTTTACTTTCAAATCCAGTTTTTCTGAATTTTTCTATTTTTTTTTTCTAGAGAAGACCCTGTTTGGAAACATTCTTGTCCATTCGGCTTGTGTGATATGTTCTTTTGTAGTTTGGTAACTTTTATTTGTTTATCTGTTTAAAATATTTTTCCTGGAAACAAGCAAATGCTGCTTGACACTGTTATTTTTTATGTGTATCTATTATTTCTTCAGTTATGCTTTAGATAAAATGTTAACATATTAAATAGTGTTGCATTTTTGAATGCATTCCTCAATAAGTCATCCCAACATTAAAGTGGGTAAGAAATCATTGAAATAAGGCTCAGATAAACTTACCAACATGTTGAAAGTGACAGACAGTAAACTGTGGAATTGGGTTGTATGCTGAGATGGTCTGGCTTCAGGATGAAGACAGAAAACTACTTCAGACAAGAAGAACATCTAATCACAGCAATATTCTTGGCTGACAGGTAAAAGAGTTCTTCTATGATTTAGTGAATCTATGGGGAAAGATAGAACAGAAAATAAAAGTGGTCTATTATGGACGTGTAAGGGCTAAGGGCAAACAATGAGTGGAAGACATAAGAACGTTCATAAAAGGGAAGAAAATGATTATACTAACATATGTATGCATAGATATGTTTTATAAAATTCATATATGCTGATTAAGAATTTGAAGTACAAAATAGGTCTGTCTTGGCAAGGAAGAATTCAGGAAGTATTCCTTCTCTCTCTCTCTGTCTCTCTCTGTCTCTCTGTCTCTCTCTCTCACACACGCACTGTCTCTCAAATTTCCTTAGGAAGTCTCTCTGAGATAAAATGCAGTTAGATAATAATTTTTTGTCCCTAATGCTGCTGATGTGTTAATTTTGTTCCTTCAGGGCTAAGGCCCTGAGGCCCAACCTTTGGGGACCTGGCTTTAAATGATTGTAAGCTCTCAGGATAAAGTCCTTTATTCTGCAGTAATAATGTTCAGGTCAGGAAGTCTTTGTTCATGTGCAGGTCCATCAACATGGAGGCTCATCTTCTTCACCAAGTGCTTGGAAAGTCTTGCATCTTGCAAAGGCCCATACCATGAAGAGTGTTGAATCTTCTACCCTTACTTCTAGAAAATGATTATGACGTTTGAAGCAGTTGAAATTCATGCAGAAAGGACGCCCTTAAAGAAGTGAGTACACTTAATTTGGACCATGGCAATGTAGCTGAAACAGTGGCACAGCACCAGAATTAAGATCTGGAAATACAAATTCCCATTGCAGATTCTCCAAAGGGACCAGACTTGGGCATTTTTCTCTTCTCACATTGAGCCTAAACAACTGGTTTGTGTTCTCCTTTGTACATGTGCTTAGGGATGACCTTGACGATTGGATAACCTATCAGGGAACATGTCCCTGAAAAACAACACTTGAGTCTCCCTCTCTCAGCAGGTATTGATTGCCTGTAGGTCTTCATCTGGTGATGGGGCCTCATGAAATTTCCCCATCCACATTGGCAAGTCTACTGGTGTTGCCATTACACAGGTCTTGCTTAGGCAGTCATATTGTGGAACTGTGGAGATTTCATGAAGACAGCTTCCCTGTTCTGTCTAGATGTCACTATTTTTGCAGTGACATCCTTCTCCTTTAGTTCTTACAGTTCTTCAGCACCCTCTCTTATGAGGTTTCCTGAGCCTTAGGTGTAAGAGTTGCAGCACAGATGTATCAACTGCAGTACAGATCATCCCATGATTACCTATTCTCTGTATTTTCACAAGTTGTTAATCTTTGAAGTAGCCTTTGCCTGCTGCAAAAAGAAGCTTGTTTGTTGGTATAATGATAAGTGTGTAGAATATAGTTAGAAGATATATTGGTTAAGGAAACTGGCAGTAGTTGGTTCTTTTCTGTTATCTATGATAGTGGCTAGGTTTACAATACTAGGCAAGAATTTCCTCCTATGAAATGGGATCTTAAGTCCAGTTAGACAGCTGTTGTTTACCCCCAAGATTAAAGTGCCAGTATTGCATCATTGGGTCTATTTTCTGGCCTGGTTATTGTTATGATTCACTCTTTTCAGTAGAGTGGGGCCACTGATTGTTTCTCTACCTTGGTAGTTTATATAACACCTTCTGATACTATGAGGGCTAGTCCTCAAGGAGGAGGCTTCCAGGTCAGTTCCAGCTTGATTTCTCTAGGTCCTGTGTCCAAAGTATGTAGTATCTTGGGCAATAAGATCTTATCTAAAAGGCCTGGGGGCCATCAAGAGAAATGGCAATAGCCTATATTGTGTTGGGTGTCTCTTGGACTTCTTTAACAACTCAAAGGGAAGTTTCTTATACATGGCATTTGGGTTTTTATTAGGTATTCTATGGTTACACATATGCACATGCACACTCACATGCATGTACATGCACGCTCACACACACACTCATACACCACATACATCATATGTATTTTTAAGTAAACTCATAAAATGGTTCCCTATCGCCTTTTCGGGCATACTTAGTGTTATCTATCTCCCCATCCTCACTTTCCCTTTGTGGAAACTTTCCAGTTGTCTCTCCAGTCATAGCAAAGTATGTAGCCTTGAAAATTGCGAGATTTTATTTGTTCTTAAATTTTTCCATATTCCTTTACTGAGACACACAGGATAAGTGTACGGTCTAATAAGTGATAATTCACTTATTCTGCTCTTCCACAATGTATACATATTTTAAAACAACATATCATGTATGATGCAGTTTTTTACTAAGTAAATTTTTTATTAAGTGGGTATATAGAAAATACATACAGTTTTTATTGTCATTTAAAATGAATAATTCTGTCTAGAACTGAGTTATAGATTGTTGTGAACTGCCATGTGGGTGCTGGGAAACCAACCTGGATCTTCTGCAATAGCAGCTAGTGTCTTAACCACTGAGCCATCTTGATGGGCCCAAGAGAGTATTTCTTGAATAAAATGGGCATTGGACATTTTGCAAACATCATAACTTGATTTCAGTATGCATACCTTAGAGACTTATGTAAAATATCAAAAATACTATGAGATGATTTTGTATTATTTTAGCTCATTACATGGCTGATTTTTCTGTATAATTTTCATGACAAGGTGTCCAACATTTGTCATTTCTCTATATCTCATAGGCGAGTCTCATGTCCTTTTATAACGTCATATTCTTTTCTTACAATTATGCATTTGGGAGTGATCTCTTCCCCACACGTTCAACTTCTTCCTAATTAAACTCATAGTATTAGTTCTAAATTATGCTTTTAACATCATATATGTCAAAGATTATATAATTATTCTTTCTTTTAAGGGCAAATATTTATGGGACTAAACAGATATAATTTTATTTTTAAGGATAACAATCATTATTTAAATATAATTTTGTAATTTGTGGGGGTTTTAGATCACATAGTTACACAATCTTTACGGAAAGAGTTACAGAATTTAGAGATCAAGAATAAGTTTTCCACATTTTGGAAAAATGTTTGCACAAGTGCCCAGACAGAAACTACACCTACTGTCTCCCAGTTCAACAATATGTTTCAATTGTCTATTTCAAATCTGTTTGTGACAATCTATTATTGACTTAAAACATCATTTGTAACTGTTAGTGTTTTACATTATATAGGCAGTCAAATTTTGGCAAGAGTGTGAAGAATATAAAGAGTCCAAGAGAAAGTACCTTGAGTTTACATAGAATTTTTGTGCAGCTTCGCAGATCTAGCAACTAGAATTATGTATCATCTGCTAGTACAACAATAATGGCCAATTGTCTCCAATGTGCCTAGTTCTGCCATTGACTTCAAATGGCATTTGTAGCTGTTCATGGTTGATTTTTGTAATACACAATTCTTATTCTTTTAACAGATTCCAACTGACCAATGGAAGAAAAGAATCAGACGGCAGTGACTGAGTTTCTCTTCCTGGGCCTAACGGATCATTTCCTTCAGAAGATTGTCTTTTTCATCATGTTTCTCTTTGTTTATCTTGCCACCCTGGGGGGTAACCTGGGCATGATCACTCTCATATGGGTGGATCCCAGGCTGCACACACCTATGTACTTTTTTCTTAGCCACTTGTCCTTTGTAGATGTCTGCTCCTCTTCTTCTAAGATGTTGCATGATATCTTTGCAGAGAAAAAAAGCATCTCTTTCGTGGGCTGTGCAGCACAGATGTGGTTCCTTGGTATCTTTATGACAGCTGAGTGTTTCCTCCTCGCTTCTATGGCATATGACCGTTATACAGCCATCTGCAATCCTTTGCTGTATACACTCATTATGTCCCAGAGGGTCTATGTGCAGCTGGTTATAGGGCCTTATGTCCTAGCTGATATAAACATCACAACTCATACAACTTTGACTTTTTGCTTACCGTTTTGTGGTTCAAATATCATCAACCACTTCTTCTGTGACATTTTCCCATTATTTTCCTTAGCATGTGCTGAATCCTGGATCAATAAGATTGTGCTTTTTGTCTTCTCTGGAGCAATAGGGGTGTCCAGTGGTTTGATCATCATCATCTCCTATGTCTGCATTTTTATGGCTATCTTGAAGATTCAGACCACTGATGGGAGGAGGAAAGCCTTCTCCACTTGTTCCTCTAATCTGGTGGCCGTGTCCATCCTGTATGGGACACTTTTCTTCACCTACGTTCGACCTAGTGCAAGTTTTTCCTTGAACCTCCTAATCTACAGCTTGAGGAACAAGGAAGTGAAAGGTGCATTCAGGAGAAAGATGCAAATGAAGTATTTTAGAATAGGTGGGTAAAGTTGAAAATTTATGTGATATTCAATATGTTGATACTTTTAAATTCAGTCATAAAAATGAAATATTGTGACTGTTTATGAAACAACATATTCATGTACCGAGGGATATCTGGGTACAGATGCTTGACCAGAAAGGCCTTAACATATATGGCAGAATGCATGAAATCTGGTCGGGGGAAAGATGGGGGAGAGCGTCTAAATTTAAGATCTATTATTTAAAATGCACAAAAACTCAATAAAATATACATTAAAAACTACAAAGCCAAAAGAAAACAATAAAGAAAATATTTTTGACGTGTGTCATCAATTAGATCATATTCATAATGCATAAAGAACAGTTTCGAATTAAAAATCCAAACAACAAAAATAGGCAATTGAACAAATGAAGTGAGAAGCTCATATAAATGTGGTTGTTAATTATCAAAAAAATATGAGAAAGCTATTCTGTTGCTTGGTCATGAGGTAAGGTTAAGTGATGATTGCGGTTCCTTTCAATGGAGATCAAGAGATCAATCACTGTGTTGGAGAGATTATTTTAATGTGGTCCTTAGTATTGACCCTGAAAAAGATTTCACAGTGTTAAATTCCTGAATCTTTTTCTATGTGTATTTACTTAACTTTTTGTGTGCTTTCATGCACATTCACATATGCCCTGGTGTATGTGTGGAGGACTAGGACAACTTGTGAGAGTCAGTTGTCTTATCAGATAACGTCCAGAAATCAAACTCTTGTCATCAGACTTGGCATCTAGTGCTTTTACCTGCTGTGACATCTTGTCAGCCCCAACTTCCTGAATCTCAGTACAGTTTGTCTTACACTCTCTGATTTGCATTTATGTTACCAAGACCGCTAATATTCTAGCAACTGCTTGTACGACTTGCTCTATTAGTATGTTATCTGTGTAGTGTTCAGAAGTGTATATTGAAGGGTGTTTAATCTGCCAGTTGTCTTCAGATTATATTACAAATGAGACCAGGATTGTTAATATAATCTTGAGAGAAAATTATAAATGAATCATTTATCTTATGTAAATATAATGTCTCCAAATTTCTTTTCTAAGTGGAACTGAAAGTATACAGTTCAAAATCTCTGAGTGTGTCTGAGACCTTGTGATTGATGCCATCCATGCACGACATAATATTGCTATTGGGACTAGTACTCATTTGGAATTGAAAAGTTTTATAATCATTGGGCAGAACTAAACAAGTGTTTAAGGTGCAGCAAACAGAATTAATAGAGAGGAGTGATGACTTCTGTTGCAAACTTCATGTCTTCGATTGTGGTAGCAGTTTGTTGACATAAGTGTTCATTATTCTGTCATCCATGTTAACTGTAGGAAGTCTGGATCTATAGCTGCATTTGACACTCCTGAGTGTCTCAGATCCTTTGGTTCTCTCTTGCTTGTGTCTAAGTTTTCTTTGTAGTGGAAGGAGTGCCCTTCAGGTCTTCTCAAGGACATCAGTCATCAGAAGACATATCATTTGGTTTTTTATAATAAGTTCCTCTTAGCATCCATTCAGGAGATTTTTAAGCTTTGAAAAACACTTCCTCCAAACTCTGCAGTGGAACTAAAATTGTGTGTACTCTGCTTGCTATAAATTTCCATTTTCAAAGATCCAGAGACCCATTTTATTAGTGTATTAATATCAGCCCCTAAGGTCTCGGCTGCAAATTTACTCCTGAGTAATTGTGTTTCTCCAAGGTGTGTGAATTCCTCCTTACAGTGCCTTATATTTTCTTCAACTCTAAGTACATTGCCTTCAAAATATCTGAATATGCATTAAATATGTAAACAAAATCTTGTAACTCTTTTAAAGATTAACCATTTTCTCACCAAGGTACAGCAATTCTTTCTAATCTGAATAGAATACCATTTTGAGCTTTGCCACTGATTACTAAGACTAAATTCTAGGACCGGGGTGGGGAGCTGGCTCAATAATGTCAGTAATGTGCATCTTGTGTAAGTATGAGTTCTTGAGTTTAGATTTCCAGTATCCATGTAAAAGCAATGCCTGGCATTATGTGTGTCATCCCACTACTGAGCAGACACAGAAAGAAGCATCTCTGGAGTTCATAGGTCAGTTAGTCTAGAGAATGGTGAACTCCATGTTCAGTGAAAGACCATGTCTCTAAAGGGAAAGTGGAGTGATTTTGGGGATCTGTACACGTGACCCCCTGCAGAAACACACATACATATGTATATACCATACATATACAGACATATATAACAGCAGTGAAAATAAATGACATAAAGGAAAGTGATACATGTTGAGCAAAACAATTTTTTCTTGTGATGCACATGATTCATGTGAAACTGTTGTATGTTCTACAGATAAAAGAAGGCTATTGTCTCCCAGCAAGGGGGTGAGGACTCCTTCTGAAGCCTCTAAGTCTTCTAGAGAACTGTAACATCCCAGCTATATAATGGAGATATCTCATTCCCAATGACCAATGTCCAGGTCTTTCAGAGTCCTGACACTGCATGTATGACTTCTAGAAGCTGTGAATGCATCCTTCATGTTGATGCTTCTTACAGTCTGAGTCCTTGCCTTACTTTTCAAGTTACCTGGTATCAGATTGTGATGAAGGTCTTTTTAAAAATAGCATCTTTCCTATCTTACTTTAATTTAGATTGGAGTTTTTTTAAGTTTAAGATTTATTCTTAAATAAATAGAATAAAATGCAGAGATGAAAATACATTCATTCTTAAAACAAGTCCAACTTGAATGATTATGAAATTTTTTTATAAATTTGGCCTAAGACTGAAATCAGACATACCAGTGACAAGATCTATAAAGTAAGGACACACTGCAGAGCAAGTCACGTCCCATCTCCATTATATCAATATCCTATTAATCACTTACCTCCCAGGAAACCATTGTTCTAAATATGTTTACAACACATGTGTGCTATGTGATCTGAATATGTAAGGTCAGCATTATAAATAGAAATACAACTTTAAGTTTTCCATTTCTTCTCTGGACAGTTACTAAAAATGAAGGAAAATGAAAAGAGTAAAATGTTTAAAGCCACATGAGTAGATTCTAGGTAACTCAAAAATGGACTGTCCCTTCCCTGATTCTGCTACATCCTGTGGTTATGAAAGTCCAATAATGGGTAGTCATAGAGACAGGAGAGACTCAGATAGCATTCTAGAGGCAATGCAAAGCTCACCTGAATTTTCAGGAGGTAGATTCTGTGGATCATTTCTTCTGATTATTTGAGGTAAAAAGGTTTTAATCCTTAAATATTTTAGGACAGAAAAATTCTAAATTGTAGTTCAGAGGACCAAAACAAGGGTTTTGCTGAAATTCTGTTTCCACAGTTTGATTTTCAGAGAATATGACTTATTTTTGTGTTGTAGCTCGACAGACTCTACATTTTAAGACTAATTTGGGTAAGCCAGAGTGGTTGCTCACACCTGTAACCCTAGCACGAGGGACACCGAAACATCAGGCTCTCCAGTTTGAGGCTATCCTGGGCTACAGAATAAGATCCTGTCCCCCAAACCCCACAAAACAAACAAAAGCAGAACAAAGTTGGGTGATTCTAAAACCTGAGGTTCATTAAATACACTTTGACCATTAGATTAAAATATACAATGCTGCATATGAACATTTTTTTCCCAATGCCTGACATTTCAAGCTATACAACAATTTCAGCCAAAGGATTAGTGATTTGTAATGAACAGGCCCACAAGTTGTAGATATGAGGCAAGATAAGGAAATCTTTGGCCATTTGGAAGCAGATATAATATGAAAAACCCTAGTGTTGTGAATAAACTGAACCTGTGGTACTTGAGAAGAAGCCTTGGAAGGGAAGTCTCCTGTTGAGTTCTCAATGGTAATGATGCCATCTAGGGGTTTTCTCTGTGAAGTAAAGAATAAAAATGTTACTGGGAATCTTGGGGTTTCCCAGGAGACCCACCATATGATACCAAGGAAACAGGATCCTCTCTTAGTCTTATTATGGACTCAAATGGAAGCTTGAGGACAGTTTATTGTAGCTTAAAAGAAAACACCCAGGACAGGTAAGATGTAAATCTCACAGCTGAGGGGAAGAGGAGAATGGAGAAGGGAAAACCCATGCCATTTCAGATAAGCTGGCATGAAGGACAGCCACATAGCAGTCAGCCGCATAGCACGGAGGGGAGTTTAGAGAAAGAGTAAGGAAGCCCAACGTGTTGAGAGTTTAAAAACATATTCAGGCTCTGTCCATCATCCAAAAGGAAAAGACAGAAGAAAAGAAAAATAAATACACTTTTCTGACTCCGGACTTAGAGAGGCAGGTATACTCAGCTAAACTTCATGGCTGCTTATAGCCTCTTGTGGGGCAGGAATTCCATGAAGAAAAGTACATTACCTTACAGTGAACCTTTATTTCTTGGCATAGTACCTTATCCAGGTCCTAGTCTTGCCCAAGTGAAATATACATATGCATACATACATCTATATCTATATCTATATTTTTTGTAATTTTATACAACAGTTCCTTATCAAATTTAGATCCCCTCCCTTATCCATCCCTCCCCCATCCCCTCACCGAACCTTGTGTATTCCACCACACTGTTAAGTCCTAGTCATTCAGGCATTTGTACCCAAATGTCCTTCAGTGTAACTGAACTTTTAAGGAAGGAAGCAAAGGCATGTCTCCACCTAGAGGCAGAGTCCATTCATTACTATAGGGCCTGCTCTGTTTTTCCAAGAAGGCATGCTCACAGGATTATAGTAAACAAAAGTGCTGTTAAGGTTAAAAAAAAAAAAAAGTCTTATTCCTATTTAAATCTACACATTGGTTTAGGTTAAAAAAGAAAACAAAGCTTCTTGAGATAGTCACTATGTATCAGTTAATCTATTTTAAATTTTTTTAAAGAGATAGTGTTCTCTGTGCAGTCCAGGTCAGCCTCAAAACTCATGATGCTCCTGCCTCCACCTTACTATGCTGTAATTACAGGTGTGCATCACAACAGAAGCTTGTCTTTATTTAGTTCTCAATTAATGC